ACTAACTACCACAGTGGAAACCACCGGGAGAACTGTACCAGCACCTCCAGCCCGCTCCCTCTGTGCTGGAGGTTTTACTGGCAGGGAGAAATCCACCACAGCAAGTCTCCCCTTGGGATTCCCACCACGGCAGACTGATGGCATTATACAGACAACCTGCATGGGAACACCCAGACCAAAGTCTCAGCAGGTAGGTGGCTCCAGCAATAGAGCACTTCTGCTACGCTGGTCTCTCTGAATGGACATTTAAGAGCAGCCATAGGGCCACATACAATAAAGATGGGGAAGCGGTGAAAAGCAAACCTAAATCCACTCTGCATTCTGACACCACCATATATTCTTTGTGCCTTTCCTCCCATTTAGAAAGGCCCTGTACTTTCAGACAGTCGGCTCCTGGAGTGCCTCATAGCCGCTGGATCTGCTTAGTCGTCGGATCTGCCTAGCCAGGTGCCTGCAGCATGGCCCCCTTAAACTCCCCTGATGAGGGTAAGAAAGCCAGAGAAAGACAGACACTTACCCTAATCTGCCCACAAAACTTATTATGTGGGCTTCCAGACAACTTTCAAGTCTTACACTAATGTATAAGACATTAGCTCAGGCATTTTTAGAAAGATGCCTTAAAATGTTCTCCTCCAGCAAAAGTACAGACCAACTGTCCTAATAGTTTATATGAACACAGATTCTGGCCTACTTAATTTGATCAGGACATAGAGCAGACCTAAATGTAAACGCAGGGATACATACCTACAGACAAGGGCTTTTACCAGCATCCTAGTATACATATACTAACAAAATACGTATTTGTGTGCAGAACGCAATGGTGAGCACACATGCACACACTACAATCAGCAGAAACCACTACAAAAAGTGACAAGAAATTGGCAGTTGTTCATTCATCTCTTTCAGTTCAATACCTTCTCCCCTCCCTTCCCCACCTCCTGGATTTGTCTAGCTGCAGGCCGATCACGCTCCCACCCATTCCCTGCTAATTCCTTCTTGCTTATGAAAGCCACAGAATGCAGTTCTTGCGAAAACAGCTTTTTTTTCCATTGAAGAAATTTTAGTAATCTTTAATAAAAACCCTAGAAGTGCTGCTGTCTAGTGACATACAGCAGGATCACTGTCCTCACTGACAAATCCATTCCTCCTTCCCCCCAACACACAGCTGGTATCTACAAACCAAAGCACACTTCCCACCAAGGTATACAACACCATGCCTCACACGAACAGAGAGGGTCATTTAGGGGAGAGCATAAGCGATCTTTAATTTAAACACACATACATAATCAAGGTAAAAATAGGGAGAGGAAGTTCTGAAATGATGGAATCCAGGAAATTCTCTCCAAAGCACATTTATAAACAAACTCCGGAACAAATGACACATAAACTTGCTGTGAAATTAGAGAATTTCTCTCCTTCTCCCCCTTTCCATATGACATAAAATACTGTTTCTAACAGGTAAGACTCAGGTTACCATTGCATAAATATTTACTATACGAATGTCATTCGTATGTATTTCAGAGCAGATGTGTTATCTCCCTTCCTATTGAAATAATACAGAAGAGGAAACATGGTATGTAAGAACCAACTGCTTTCACTTCAGCAGCCTTTTCAAAGATATTTTTCTTTTGAGCCTGTTTGCTGCCAACGCTCCGAGAACTGACATTTCCTTTTAGATCTGTACAACGTACCTGAGATTCCTGCAGAGAAGTTCTTTAAAGATGGTCTTTTCACCACCGTGTAGGATTCCCCGACCACGAAGACTTTATACAGCACGGCGTTGTGATTAATGAAGCTCTGAATGACACAAGGGGGGCGGACAGCTTTCAGGCCCTCCTGGTTGAAGATGATCGCCATCTGGAAAGACACACACACAGTTGTGCACAAATCTTTCAATAACTTCATGCTTCACCACCACTTGACTAGCAGTGAGCGGGAACATCTACTGGTGGATATATATTGACCACCACCTTCTCAGCAGCTAGTCCTATTTAATTATGTTTCATTTCACTGACACACAACTCTCCAAACACTACTGGTAGTGCACAGCTTTCATTTTCAATCAACATTTTCTTCTCAGCTCTTTGCAATTTCATTTGCTGCTTTTAGGTAGGAAGCTACTGCAACTGCAGGTGCAACAAAAGGGTAAAACATGTGGCCAACACAAATGACAAAGCTTGTATTGAATACAAGCATGCATCATGAGAACAAGAGAAGGAACAGCTCTTTTTACTAACTATGTAAGTTCTTCCCCACAGCTTTATTTCCCGCGGTTTGGTTCAGTCTGGTTGCAATGGCCTAAGCACCAGGGTTTCATCCACATCATCAGAGAGCTTCTTCTGACTCTTGTAGCAAATGCCAGCCTAATGATTTTCTTGGCTTGGTTTCACCCCATTACTCCAAATGGACAGTCCTCTTGAAGGGACTAAAATAAATATGTCAAAAAGGAAGGTATTTATAGGGCCTGAATAATGAGCAACAGCTGCCTCAAAGAGCATGGAAGTGATGCTGGTAGGTGCATAGAAGTACTTTGACAAGCCAGCATATCTCCAGCACGTTACGCTTCTCTTTCTATCAAACCCTTCATTACCATGTTTACATGCATATATAATTATCCTAACCTGCCCCATTTTGCAGGTTTGTTGCTGGAGTATGGATGCTGCCATGGCTCTTATGCAGAACTGGCAGCAAGCACCATTCTGACACAGGCTGATGAAATTACTTTATACCAGTGTGCCCCTTCACAGCAGTGAGGATAAACTTAGGTTTGCTCTCCATCCTCAAAGCCCTGAAAAAGCTATGCTCTAGTTATCTGAATATTGACCTCTTTTAATTACTCCAGTGATGCTGGGCCTTGTTATCCATGGCAGCAGAAGGACATATTGATAGTCAGGTCAACATGAGTAAGGACTGTTCAAAGCCAGACAACCAGTCACACAGCTTATCTTCCTCCTCTCTAGGGAAAACTCCTTCCCACAGGTAGGGATGCTTTGGTTAGAGCACCCTCCCCTTCTGAAGACCCTTGAAGACAACAGCTAAGCACCCATGCCTTGAGCCTGCCGCCTACATCAGTCAGCGCAGGATGCACAACACTTGCCAGAAAAGTTCCTAAGCCCTGAAATGAGTTTTTTCTTATGCTTGTTTATATCTTCTCACTGGCCTCCTTCGGCCTAGTGTTTCACTTGGGATGTAAGACAGTCCAGAGAGGCTAAGAGAATTCCTGTGGGTCCCACAGTGACTCCACAGTGATATACAGAATAAAATTGGAGCTTCCTGCCTCAGCATGGTGCAGATGAGTTATACTGCTTGCTCTCTCTTTCCATGCGCTTCCCGTCAGTTTTTGTCCTTTCTGAGATTAGCTGTATCTTAGTGAAGAGCCAGGGTCACTGGAAGGATTTTACAAAGGAACTTTACCACTTTGTGCTCTCTCTCTTATATTATATATGACCAGCTGCTCATTTGATGTACACTGTATTTTCAGACTGAATTCTTGCTAATGTCTTAGTTTGTTCCTGTAATAAAAGCAGTAAATGTAACAGGTTTTGTTGTTCAAAAACATAACTGTGGTAAATGATGTGGCGATTACATATTCATAGGTAAAAGTCTGAGCACAGTTTTGTCCTTATTCCTCCTTAACTGGTAGACCACATCAGATCACATAATTGTCTGCACTCATGCACAATGACTCAGTAGATTAACATTTTCTGAATTCAAGTCAATGTGTGCATTCAATACCTACTTGCAGCTGATGTTCTTACTCTCTCTATGATACCAGATGCTTTCTATCTGACAGCACAGACTGAATTTGTGAGTGGTAGTAACCTGTGCAAGAAACCTACTCTAACCAGCAGAATTGTCCATCAAGATGATTCACAGCAACCACAACATCATATCTGTCTCTCACTGGTGGCAAGAAACACTGCTCTCTTCCTCCTCTGTGTAGACTGTTGGCTTTATAATATCTACAACATCACACTGGCAAAAACTATGTTGTTCCTATCCTTCAAGTGCTCTCTGCAAATATTAGTTAATTAATCCCCGCAAACCACTCTTTTGTAAGATGAGCAGGTACTTATCATCCTATTTTTTCCATCTGGAAACGCAGAGAGGCAGAGAACTGACCCAAGCTACTGGAAACCGTGGTAAACCTCTCTTCTGCAAAGCTCTGTGCTGACAGCCCCATGGACTAGCACGCAACCCATATAACTCCCATGGTGCTGCATTACCCTGGTTCACTGCGATGTCTCATGGCTTTTAGCATGCATGAATACAGCTCCAAGAATTCACTTGCAGGGTGCACAAGCTCTTTGTCATCTAGCACAGATCTGCTGTGTCTGGCAGTAACATAGGAACATTACTTTATATGATAATTTCCAAATAGCATTTCCTCATTATAAATGCAGAGCTCTTCTGAAGGCAAAACAAAACATTTGGCACAAAGAATTTTTACTGACAACATCCTTAAGGAACTCAGTCTCAAAAACCACAGTGATTCTCTGCCTTTTCATTCCTGTCTGCTCAAAATTTAGAAAAAGTCATGCTGGACACATTTCATCAGGTTACAGGTCTCAGTGGTGTCTCAAGGCAGCTTTACCAAGGGTCCGTTATCTTCTGACCTATTGGGAGCTGGGAAGGACAACCTTCAGGCATCATCTCTGGTCAAGTCTAACAAATGATGCTGGCAAAGTGGGGTTTAAGTGCTGAGCTGGCCAACGCAACTTCTAGTGCAGAGGCCATGTGGAACTGTGGGTCACCACAAGAAGACTGAACAGCACCTTGGCTTAACTAGCTCATGTTATCACAGCAAAATGCAGAGTCTGACAGCCTTGGCTGGCACCAAATCCAAATTGAAACCTATACCTTCAGCTATCCCTGTCAGCCAGTACTTGAACTTTCTGAATAGTCATCTTCTGAAGAAAAGCAGGTTTCTGGCTAGGCTGGATTCTAGTACCAGTGTCAACTCTGTGGTGGGAATATCTCTACAGAAAATGAAGCAATTTACCAAAAGCCAAAGAAGGAGTCATTAATAAAACATGCAACAATTTCTTGCTTCTAGACGTATGCTTTTAGACAGACTATACTGTAAGCAGAGTATTTATCCCATGCTTCCCTTGCCATTATTGACCATAAAAGAAGCAATTCCAAGACAGTTTCTCTCTGATCATAAATACACTTTTGGATCACTCCTGAGCACACAGCAACTCCAAAAGTGACTACTACTCCTAACTGTGTAAAGTACCATGCAAGACTTCAGGCTTTTTTCCAGGGGTCCTCCTAGGCTCTAGTGATAAGTTCCTGTGATAAACTGCAGCCTACAACTGTATTTTAGTGTAATTTTTGCTCAGAAAATGGAATTCTGGCAGAAGGCTAAGGTATGTCTGCACTGTATGAAAGAGCAGCAAAGAAAGATTCACCGGGAAAATGAAGTCCAAGCCTGGCTGGACAAGCACTGAAAGGTTCATGCATTTCAGGCTGTAATTGCAGAGGAACCTTCTACAGAAAAATCAACAGGGAAGCTGGAGTACTAAATTAATTCACAATCCAGTCCCCAAGTATTCTTGGGAATGACAGCAAAAATTTATAGCGGTTGCTCCAGCAAACTAACAGGACTGCCTGTCATGCTTGTAAAATGATCCAAGCTAAGGCCTGCATGAAAAATCTAGCTGCATTTTTAAAAGGAAGTTCTGGTCGTTCAAGATTTCAGCTGCTCATCTAGATTTTTGTTTTACTTCAGGGCCTTCAGCTCTCAGAGACGCTGCAGCAACATACTGCATGTTTCAGGAGCAGCTGGGAAACCTGGACCAACGACCACGCGGTTAACAAAGGAAGCCAAGCGTTATGAGAGCCAGCAGTGAGGCCTGGATTCTCAAAACTGAGCTGTGGTAAGCAGGAAGGCAGGAAGCACAAATGGAAAAGAATTAAAACAGGAATTCAACTTGCCTAAATTTAGAGGAAGCTAGGCTGATAGGGAACGCACTTCTTCCAGGAATACACAACCATTTTAACTGCAAGTGCTTTACGGGAATGAGGGAAAGCAGATAGTTCTACCAGCCCTGTTCTTCCCACAGCTCCAGCCGTGTTATTACAACTGAACATGCCTAGAAACATCTCTATTTGCTATTCCCTTCCCCTCAAGGACAGGAACCAGCTGACCTTCACTCATATTTCTGCTTCATTTGCAGGACAAAACCGTTTCTCACCTGTACCCCATACATGTTGGAAGAGAAACATGGTGGGGTGGAAACATCACTTAGTGTGTTTCCCACCAAAGGAGAGGCTGAAGGAGATTCCTTGCAGACAGACCTGACTGGAAACTGCAAACTGCTAGAAGCAACTAGATGATAGAAGCTAGGAACTGCTAGAAAACTTCCACGTCGAGAGGTTAAAGTCATATTTAACTTCATTTCAGATAAATCTGAAAAAAAATAATGGTGTAATTAAACACAAAGGAGAGGCAGGGGAAGGGAAGTCATCTGGGCATAGCCCTCATTCTGCCTACTGCAGGATCAGAAAGCACCAGCCAAACCATTGGAAGCAGGGGATAATACTGCAAAAGTTTTTAACTCACCTCGTGAGAGTTGGTTCCGTGCGCCACTCTGGTTTTACAAACTGGGTAAGTAAAAAAAAAAAGAAAAAACAATGCACTACTGAAACAGTACACACAAACCCCTTATAAATCCGTTCCCACCCACATGTGCAAACACTGGAGTTCACCAGACCAAGGCATTGACTGTACCAGATGCTAGTCAGTCTCTGCTTGAACAGTGTCCTCAATCAGAAAGCTTGGCTTGCTCCCTGCTCTACTCTCTCAACAACTCCCTGTAACTAAGGTGTAAGCAGAGGTCGTTATTAGGACTGGTCAGAGGTGCAAAGCATCAGCTAAGAAGTTAGTACCAGTACCAGTATTGCCACCCTGCCTACTCAGAGGGCATCTTCACAATTACGTGATTTTGCCCGAGACTGGAGCTACTTTACAGGTAGCACAAAGCACCAGTGTTCTGAAAACAAGGGAGTTGGGACACAGCGGAAACCAACTTCTTTTCCTACTTCCCTGTTTCTGGGGAATAGCAGGAAATCAAATGGGCTAAACCAAACAAAGATACAATATATTTTTCGCAGGCAACCGTAGAGGGGGACAAAAAAGGTAGAAAGAGCACAGCAATTCTTTCTCCTTCATATTCCTTATCTGCTCTGTATACCTTTGTTCTCACCTCCATCCTAAAACCAGTAAGAGGAAAGAAACAACATGCTCCTGCTATTATGAAACCAGAGAAGAGCTGAAGACCCTGGGACCCACACAATGACTAGAGCTGATGTTATTTATATGTTAAGCAGGGGAGATGAAAACTTGCAAGTAGCAAGGGGATGGATAGGACAAGACTTCTTTGGGGGTTGTTGGAAGAGTCAAATTGCCAGGCAGAGGACAGGCAGCTATGAAAGGCAGATGACCTGCACTAGAGTCCAAAATAAGTTGGTAAATATGATGTCTCACAGACACATGCTCAGGAGAGCAGGAGCATTTTAAAAAAAAAAAAAAAAGAGATATCAGAGACAGAAAAAGCACTCCCACAATACAATGTTATATTGATTTTCAGTGTTATTTTTTAATTTCATCATCACTTAGAGGGGTTGATTCAGGCCTTCTGAATATACGGGCTATATCGCTGGCTACTGAGGCTGTATGGAGAAGACAATGTGCATGGGTGAGGAAGGGGGGTCAAAGCCCTCCAGTGGGCTTTAAATCACTGCTTCACAATCTAGCTTCAGATCTGCCTCATTTGGGAGAGCTATGGCAGGGAGGGCAAAACATGCATTTTCCACATGACTTTACCCCTGAACCTCACAAAGGAGGCAAGCACCAAGAGAACAAACACCAACTAACCAACTCTGCTCACTTTGTACTGCAAGGAATCAAATAAAGGAACAAAATTTGCACAAGCCCCCCAGTGAAACTTGCTACAAAGCACCAACAGTTCATAGCAGCTGTTTGAGGCTGTGGGCCCTTCAAGCCTGCTATCTACAGAAATTTTTACATTCTTTCTTATACCCTTTAGGATTATATTTGTAGCCTGGACCAGGGAAAGGGAGGGGTGGGTGAAAAAAGAGGGCAGTCAGCACGGCAGTGATTTTCTCAAGAAAAATAAATGCATCTGGAGAAACTTCCTGTGCAAGTTCAGGGCAAGAGGCTAACTTTGTTAGATCTACTAGCATTTCTCAGGAACGCATGTTTACTGTAGTGAGGTGTTTAAAGTAAGGAACATCAATAAAAGACAAAGTAAAAGCTAATAGGGAGGGGTTTTGTTCCACATTCCAAGCAGACTGCTTCAGAACATTTGTTTTAGAAAGGTTTTAACATCCCTGACACTCTGCCAATGAAACCCACACTCCTACAGTGTTGGCTACGTCATGGGGGGTGCATGTGCAATATTCAGAACCTACTAGAAGCACCAAGGAAAAGCCCATGTACATACTGAATGGGAATGCCAGTCCATTCTTCTCTATAAGCTGCAAGGTATCTTCTCCACAGGCACTTGTCAGCTCCATAAAGGGTGGTGAACAGATCCTCTCATCTGCAAGACAAAAAAAAGACTCAAATGGAGATGAGGGGTTTAGCTTCTCAGCTGCACCATCACCAGCTGTCTCCATCCTAACTGCTTCTTGATAGCCAGCTTTATTTTAACAGTTGATATTACAGCACTGGAAAGATTATCAACCAGGCCTGAATTTGGGTTTCTGGAAACATTTCAGAAGATGAAAGGCCCAATCTTCAGATAAACTAAATGGAAACATAAAGCCTGTATTTTCATAGTTAGGCAGCAAAAATGATCACCTGTTTAGGAATAAGTAGCCGCACAAGACCTAGCCAGTAGGGTGAAAAGCAATTGGGATCTTAGCTCCTAACATTATGCCTTTGGGCATAATTTTCTAAAGCATTTTACAAAAATCTGAATGGTTGGCAAGTGTGGCTGGAGCAGGCAGACTCACAAAGCCATCATTACTGGAGGGCCCCTCAGGTGGCAGATTCCAGCGTGGGTTTACTTCAGCCAAGATGCCAGCCATGTAATACATCCCACTGTCCACTGGGCCCCCTCTGCCATGAAAGCACTGCTCATTTGGCCCGGCAAAGCCAGTCAGAGCACTGCTAAGATACTGAGACACCTTGGCAAGACTGCTCAGTGGACTTTGGTTAAAGATAAAAAACACAGGAAATGATGATAAAATTTAACAGAGCAGGTCTGCTCCAGGGTGTTTCTGCTTTTTCATATGGGGTTGTGGCAAGGCTGGAGTCAAAACCCAGCCCTCTTAGTGACTCAGTAGGTTGAACTGCTCTAGGGTTCACATCTTGTTCACTGCAGGAGAACTTTGATTCCTCTAGAAACGCAGCAGGAAAGGGGAAAAGCACTGTAGGACTCTTCAAGTATGAGTCTCCACCACTCAAGAGGGCTGGGTTGCAATTTCAAGTGCAAAGAGAACCCTGGTTTCAGCCACAGCTCTGGGACAGTCAGTGGGCCCAATGACTTTCAGACAGAAGCTGTGTGCATATTGACAAAGTCAAAGCAAGAACATCACCCAAGTAAGAGCAACAATCCAACTTAACTCCTCAGCAAGCACAGTCTTAAAAGTAGTGCCTCCATGGAGTTTTAGGTATGGCCAGGTTAACTCTGGAGTCACAAATGAGTTACAAGTCGAGTTAGCTGCACAGTACTGAACTGCAATTCAGAACAGGTCTGCCAAAACTCACTTCTAAGAGTTATTTCAAGAGAAACAGCATGACAACTTTCTCCAACAGGCAACTGGAGACCAGCACAAATGATGGGAGCAACCATATCTGGCAAACTCAAGTCACAGGTTTATATCAACCAGCAACTTGTCTTGGAAAATAAGCAAAATGTGACTGTTATTACCATCCACGTCTATCCCAGCGAGCAGAGAATCCAAACAGGTGGAGGCTATGCTGTGCAGACAGTGCAGAAACTGAAAAGCACATGTAAACTAAAACCCCAGCAAAACCAACTAGATACTCTTGAGAGTACCGTGCATCCAGAAACCACTTCATAAGCATTCTTTAGATTAATGCTTTTCATTTAATTGTAAGTATACGTTTATGCATGTTCCCTCACACAGAAGAGAAAATTGAATCATTGAAAATAACAGAGCGACAAAACACACTATAGTTTGGTATACGTATCTCAATACATGCTTCAACACTCTGATATCTGAGAACTCTGGCCATTAGCAATACTGTTGCTACAAGAAGTTTTTTGCAAAAAGGCTATTTTCATACATCCTAAAAGGAGCAGAAAGACTGATGTTTTGAGGTCAACCTCTACAAAGCTAAACAAAACATCCCAGACTTCAAAGCTTTCAGTTCCCTGCTATGAAAACAGAAAGCGGCATCCAAAAGTGACAGGTACTGTAATATTTACAAGCCTTTGCCAGAGTGAAAGTTCCTCAGTTGGATGAATTTAAGGAATCAGATTTAGTTTACAGATACTTGGGAAGAACTTTGGCTTGGCAGCTCTCCCACACATAAGGCTCACAAATAACTTTGCCTTCAGAGTGCAGACACAGAGGGACGTATGGTTCCATTTCGCTTCCCTCCGTGGCATGGGGACATGCAGGAAGGGGCAAACAGTAATTTCTTTGACTTTGTACTTAGAAAAGACCACCTGGATCAACAAAATGTAGCAGAGAAGACTCTTAGCATCTCAAAGTGCTCCTGCTGACTTTGGACAGCACTGGCATTTTCTCCACCAAGAAGGCAATTCTAGCTCACTGAAACCTCTAAAACAGACATTAATTCACAGACAGACCTGAGGACAAACACTCTCTCAACACAAGATTTCAGTATGGCCTACAGCTAGAAAGCTGCTGCTCTCAGTTTAATTGCACACACTGCAATTCTGAAGGTAGGTGTAGGTTTAAAAAGAAGTCCTCCAGCTGCCAGTGATGATCCTCTCTTCCTTCCCAGGGTGGCAAACACAAGCTGAAGCTTTCTCTCATCACCAAGCTCCTGCTATCAGTGGGATAGCAGTCTCAGCACACCTTCTCTGCACTGAGGTCCAGGACAGACCTAATTCAGTGTCTGAGGGTTAATCTGAATACTGTTTTACATCAGCATGGAACTACACCATACAATCCATGAAGAGCAAACAAACACCCAGTGGTACATCAAACCCTCCCCTCTCCTGCCGAGGTATGCTGCTTTAGCAGGATCTTAGTGAGCTGTGGTCAGGCGCTGGACCCTCAGCCACTGTCACTGCTTCTTCACAAACCAGTAGTGACTGCTCACCATGGGAAACCATTGCCAAAAAGGACAACAATAAATATACAAACAAATAAACATTAACAGTCTAGAGGTGAGAACGGGCAACATGAGTCTGGCACTACAGCCTAACCCTCCAGTCTGAAACCAAGCAATATTCTCATTTGCATCAGAGAGCCCTAGTGAGGATGAAGCACTTCTATAAAAGCAGTCAGAGAACTATTGAACTATGAGGCCACAGCTATGGCATGCCTCCCACAGAGCTGCATTAGCTGCGTACCGCTAGCAGAAGTGACTCTGTATGTGGGTCAGGACACAGAGCTGATACAATCCAGAACCTGCGCAAGGAGCCGACGCTGTCGCTCTTCTACTATCAGTACTCAGCTCTGAGCTGTGTGTTGGGATGCCACTGATTAGAAGAGACTTCGAAAACAGCAAGTTTGGAAAAGACTCTGCCTCATCTACCATCCTTAGCTATGTACAAGTGCCCTTAGTTCCCACAAGATGATTACAAATGCAATTTCTATGCTTTCCACTTTGAATCTGAAACTAAAACTCAGGTGCTTCCTCCCTCCCTTTGGGTACATTTATTAACCCTATCTTCATGCAGGCTTTACTGAACAGAAGATATCAGCAGGAAAAATCTTTCCAGAAGTCAAAGGACTGCTGTGATATAAAAGGGTGGACCTTTTCATAGGGCACACGAAGAGTGGTATTTCTTTCTTTTTTCCAAGTGCCTGGTAGTCTTTCAGAGACCTGCCTTTGAAATACGGCCAGGACTCCAGGTGGACCATGTCAGGTCCAGAACTGCCAACTTAACAGCAGCCAGCAAGGAAAGACTCTTCAGATCAGGAGAGGGTTCAGCTCTCACTTCAGACAAATACCAAAAGTATCTGTAGCATTTTTGTTGTTAGAAACAACACACCATAATTAAATGTAAAAGTCAAAATGCTGTCTCTGTGTTCCTCCCCCGTCTTTGTCCTTATTTTTATTGTATGCCTTGGCACAAGCTTTGTGGTGTCTGCTTTCTGTATTTTCCTTAAATTATTCTCCCTTTTCTTCAAGATTATCTGATCTCATAGGGAGCTCCCTCTTTCCTCTGTTTCACTTTCTGCATTTTTTTCTCACCCCCATCCCCATTTCTTCTCTATGCTGGTCTTTTTTTCAACTGTCATTTTGGCTCTTCCACTGCTCCCTACACTTTACCCTTCCATCACCTCTGAACGGAGATCACGGCTGGGATCACGTTCATTGCAAACGCAGGGGGAGTGTTTGCAGTGGGGCCTCTGAAGGCAGCAGGGAAGCTGGTGCTAAGAGGTCTCAGGTGACAGGCAGCAATCGTAGAATCATAGAATCATTTAGGTTGGAAAAGACCTTTACGATCATCAAGTCCAACCACTAACCTAACCCTGCCATCCCACCACTAAACCATGTCTCTAAGCACCATGTCTACCCATCTTTTCAATACCTCCAGGGATGGGGACTCGACCACTTGGGCAGCCTGTATGCTTGACAAAATTGCCTCCCTCCGCGCAGTGTTGAGGCAGTCAGCTCTGGCATGTTTGGGGTGAGCTTTGTCAGAGCACTGCTCATTCCCACAAAGCAACAGCGTTATTGTGAAGGCAGAAAACATGACTGATGAAGGCCAGTTTACAGGATGAATAACACAGCTAACCAAAAAGAGAGAGGTGAAAGAGTACTCAAACCAGGGAGCTGGTGCCAAGGAGGGGATTATTCCAGATGAAGTTCAACAGTAGTGACAGGAGCAATGGGATGTGAAGATGGGGGAGATGCAGACTAAATACTGGCTGGGGAAAAAAGTTTTCTGGCAGTGAGAATTGGCAGAAATCTCTATGCTTGGGACTTGCTTTAGTAAGAGACGTTGAGCAGTGCTCCTCTACCCAGGGCCTGTGCACCACTGGTGGCCTGCAGACAGACTGCCAAACGGTTATAGGATACCCAAACCCCCAAAAGGAAAAAGGCACAAGAAACCCAACACTAAGCACACAATCCCACAAAGCAGGCAGGCAGAACAGATACAGGAAAAATAAGAGTAATACATGGCTGTTCCCAGTTGAACCAAATCTTATGCGATAGTAAATGGAAACCACTGTGACAGGGCTGTACAAGAGAGTCCCTGGAGGGTTTTCAGTGGTCCTTGCACTGTAAGAGGTGCTGACACAGAGGGCAGCTGTGGATCACTACGGGGAAAAAAATAAACCGTAAGAACAGATGAACCATAAAATAGTTTTTTATTCAGATTTCTTTGGTCCTTACAATTTTGGAGAAATAAGACAACAAATA